CAATCTACTTGACCACTACTCACTAAGAGCTCTCACAAAAGCTACACTAAAGAGCTCCACTAGATATGTTTAAAGCACAAGGCAAGCTCTCAATTCTAATTACACTAAAGAGCTTGCTATATCTAGTTTGCGGAAATGTAAATGAGTAAGTGAGACGATTATACCGCCGGGTCGTGGAGTGAACCAATTACACGATGAATATATAGCCAATCACCGGGAGAATGCGAATGACAAGAGACAACCGATTTTTCTCCCGAGGTTCACGTGCTTGCCAACACGCTAGTCCCCGTTGTGTCGACCAACACTTGGTGGTTCATGACTAAGAGGTGTTTCACAAACCTCGTCCACACGATAGGACACCGCAAGAACCGACCCACAAGTGAGGTAACTCAATGACACGAGCAATTTACTAGAGTTACCTTTTGGCACTCCGCCGGGGAAGGTACAACTCCCCTCACAATCACCGAAGGCGGCCACGAACAATCACCAACTCGTGCCGATCCTTCACCGCTGCTCCAACCGTCTAGGTGGTGGCAACCACCAAGAGAAACAAGCGAAATCATGACAAGCAACACGAATACCAAGTGCCACTAGATGCAATCACTCAAGCAATGCACTTGGATTCTCTCCCAATCTCACAATGATGATGGATCAATGATGGAGATGAGTGGGAGGGCTTTGGCTAAGCTCACAAGGTTGCTATGTCAATGAAAATGTGCAAGAGAGCTCCCTTGAGTCGGCCATGGGGCTATAAATAGAGCCCCCATCAAATAGAGCCGTTGTGTACCCCTTCCTTTGGGCAAAACACGCTCGACCGGACGCCCGGTCATACCGATCGGACGCTGGCCCTCGGCGTCCGGTCGCCTGGATGGACGCCACGCGTCACCAGCTTCAAACTCGTCGTCGATTTCAACGGCCACTGGTTGACCGGACGCTCAAAAAACCGACCGGACGCTGAAGCCCCAGTCGTCGGTCGTTTCAAAGAAGCTCCCAAGGCATGTTTTTTCGACGGACGCGTCCGTCCACCTTGACCGGACACACAGACCGTCCGGTGCTCAACCTTACCCATCAGGTTGCTCGACTCGACGGGACGACGCAGCCTTTCAACGTCCGATCATTGAGTGACTCCAGCGTCCGGTCGAAGAGACCGACGCCAAAGATCATTTCGACCAACTCCATTTCAACTCTAACTTCTTCACCCTTGCTCAAATGTGCCAACCACCAAGAATTTTGCATCCGGCAAGCAATAGAAAATAGACATTTCATTTTTCCAAAGCGTTGAATCCGCGAAAGCAAGCTCGGCGGAGGGAGAGAAGGACCCAAACCCATCTCAACCCCGCAAACACCTTGTGCACATGTGTTAGCATATTTTCACAAATATTTTCAAGGGTGTTAGCACTCCACTAGATCCTAAATGCATATGCAATGAGTTAGAGCATCTAGTGGCACTTTGATAACCGCATTTCGATAATGAAAGTTACACTCCTCTTAATAGTACGGCTATCTATCCTAAATGTGATCACACTCACTAAGTGTCTTGATCACTAAAACAAAATGGCTCCTACATTTTATACCTTTGCCTTGAGCCTTTTGTTTTTCTCTTTCTTCTTTTCCAAGTTCAAGCATTTGATCATCACCATGCTATCACCATTATCATGATCTTCGTCATTGCTTCATCACTTGGAGTAGTGCTACCTATCTCATAATCATCTTGATAAACTAGGTTAGCACTTAGGGTTTCATCAATTAACCAAAACCAATCTAGAGCTTTCACATAGGCCAGCCTCTCCTTCAAAGGTTGGTTCTCCACAGCCTCTCCTTCAAAGGTTGTCTATCTCCACCGTTGCTCAAGGTCGGTTCGTAATGAGGGCTCAGATTTGACGTTGCCATGGATTCATGGGCCCATAGGACTCCTGGTACCCCTTATAAAAGAACCCCCCTACCTCCTCCAGAAGGGCATCTCTCTAGTCTCCAATCTCAAGAGAAATACATCCGAGATCAATATCAAGACACATCAGGAGGATTAGGTCTAGACTCTCCAATGTAGTTGATTAATATCTTGAGAGTTAGGGTCGAGTGGACTCATGTCCAAGATTCTAGATCTAGTCTCGGAGGCTTGGTAAGCCATTGTATCTATACTTTCATATCTGATGAGACTTCAATGCTTCATGTTATATTCTTATTGTGCTTATGATGTTTATATGCTTAGAAGTAGTTGAAGTTATCTTTATATTCATGCATAGGATCATATAGCGCTCGACCTAGCTTAAATTTATTGGGATTGAGTGGCCAATCGTGTGTAAGCATGGTGCTTATAAATGGTTTATCTGCGGATGCACCCTGCATTCTAGATCGGTGGTAGATCACGAGCGTGACACTTGTTGAGTCCTTTGTAGTCCACCTACCGTCTGTAGGCTAGTAGGACCCGGTTATAGGGAATAGTATTACTCTGTTTGTGCTTTTCCTTAGTAATGTCCCTTATGCATGAACATGGAGTTAATCTTTTGCTATCACTAAGTACATATACTTGTAGTAAGAATATCATAGGAATCTACCTCACCCACTATACACTCAAGTTATTATATCTATCATTAATGGTCTGTCCCCTGAGTGTCATTATGCTTAATTCCATCATATTCACCCCTGCTCTAGCTATGTTGGTATGTTGTCTAATAGATATTCCCTTTTTACTTAATAAGTCTTTATTCTATTGCTTTCCTGTGGTAAAATATAAATAACAATAACGATACCTGGAATACTCCCGGTGAAATGCTACAATGATGTTCTGTGCGCTTGCGGAATCCTTGATATTATATTTGCACTCACAAACGTCAATAGGTATTGTTATGAGTAATGGTGAAAAAACTAGATTCTGGCTTGATCCCTGGGTGTACAGAGATCCAATATGTGTAGTTGCTCCATCTCTTTTTGACTTATGTGAGAATAAACATATCTCTGTTGCCCAAGCTTTGAATGGTTCAAATATTTCATTTAGAAGATGGCTTTTTGGTGATTTAAGAGCTAGCTGGGGAAAAATTGGCTTGATGCTTGCGGTTATCAACTTGGGAGTGAACCTGATACTGTTATATGGAATATAGGCAAAAGTGGCAAGTTTACTGTTAAATCAGTTTACACTGGTTTATCTTGTTCTGAATCTGGTATATATCATAAGAGAATTTGGAAGGGTAAAATTCCTGCAAAGATAAAGATTTTTCTGTTGCTTATGACTAATGATGCTCTGCTAACCAAAGAAAATTTGAGAAAAAGAAATTGGCAGGGGGGCCCTAGTTATGCTTTGTGTGATTGTGTGGAGACTATCTCACATCTCTTCTTCCAGTGTCCTATTGCTAAAGTGATTTGGTTAGTTGCGGCACAATGCTTTGGTGCCTCAAATGTTCCCACTAATCTGCAACAATGTTGGCAATGGTGGGAAGTGTGGTTTCCTTTTGGAAAACACTAGTAGAGAACAGGCTTTTGGTTTAGCACATTAGTCTTGACTAGAATTGGACCCGGGACTAATGTGAGCATTAGTCACGGGTCCAAGTTTGTTGGGCGTCAGAAGACCTTTAGTCCTGGTTGGTAACACCAACCCGGACTAAAAGGTCTACATTAGTCTCGGTTGGTGTTACGAACCCGGACTAAAGGACCTTGACCCGGCCCTTTAGTCCCGGTTAATCACATAAACTCGGACTAATGTAGACCCTCTTAGTCTCTATTGGTATTACCAACCCAGACTAAAGGACCCTTTGGTCTCTATTGGTGTTACGAACCCGGACTAAAGGTCCTCGACGGGTTACTTCAAAATAAAAGCATCCCATCTAGACTCACATGTGCGGTGTAGGTGGGGTGGAAAGGTATGCGCGAGGCAATAGATGAGGTCTTGGGTTAGAATCCCATGAGGCACAAGGGTGGGAGGTATTATTTTTTAAGTTTCCGAGGACCTTTAGTTTGGGTTTAAAGCAACTGGGATTAAAGGCTCTTTATCAACCGGGAGTGAAACATGCTTTTCTACTAGTGACAGTATCATCCTTGGGGTATTGCCACTATTTGTTGGGCAATTTGGAAAGGTCGAAATAAAGCTTGCTTTGAACAGAAACTCATCAATAACCCCTTTGAAATAATCTTTCATGCTTGTACGCTTATGATTTACTGGTTAGGACTATTTGTAGAAATAGATCATGAGCAGCTGGTGGAGGGAGCAAACACAATGCTGAAAGTGACCAAGGAGATTTTGGCTGCTCAAACCGCAAGGCAAGTCAACAGGTTGCTACTTCAAGATGGTGAATCCTCTGAGCATGAGAAGGACCCAGCATGAGTATGAGGTACTCCAGCTAAAAATAGAGTGTGGAATGGAGGAGAGACTAATCACAACCAGAATTTTGCACTTCTCCTAGTGATGCGGGCTTCTCCTAGTGTTTTTATTCAAAATTTAGTATAAACTTTTCCTACCAAATGCCTCCTAGTGAGGATTTTCATGTGCTATAACTAATGGTAGTGTTTTATTACTACTTAAAAACACTAGGAGAATTCCATCATTTTGGTAGTGAATACTTGAACTCTGGTTCTTTGGCTGTTGTTATTTTGTTTCTGTGACGTGATGTAATATTTAGTTTCTTGGTAGTCCCTCTAGCTGGTTTATTCGGTCGTGAGCGCGGTGCCGCTCAGGAGTCTGCTTTTGGTTTTCTGGTTGTTTCATCAATTAGGCTGGTTCTGGAATGGTTGCGTAAGTCCCTGGCAGTTCTTTTGCCGTTGTTAGGCTCGTCTTCTCTGATAACTGTCTTGTCTATAATGCTTGTTGTATTTCCGTTGATCTAATATAAATGGAAAGGTTCCTCGTGTGGAAAAAAAGAACACAACGTCGCTGGGGAATCGTGCGGATACAACACAATTCACAAGACACGAACAACCTATCAAGAAACGGATCGGATCGAAACACGCAGAGATGACGACAACATCACGCGCGATCCCCTCTCAGATCAGATCATGCATCACACATCACATCACATCTTGGTGAAGGAGATGGAGGACGCAGACCGGCTGTAGTAGTACTCGGGGAGGGTGTTGGGGCTGGAGAACATGAGCGGGCGGTCCTTGGCCTCGTCGCGGTCCTCGTCATCGCTGCCGTCGTCCTCCTCGGCGGTGTGGAGGTGGATGCACGAGCAGCGCTCCAGGGACACAAAGAAGGCCGACACCACGCCCGTGGCCACCCAGAGGGCGTACCCCTCCATCTTCTCATACGACAGGATGCCGCCGTTCGCGTTGATGTTCATGGCTGCCGCCGCCTGCCGCCGTATGCCCCATGCCTCCGCGCGCCGATGGCCAAAGGGAGTTGGATAAGAGGGTGGCGAGGAGTGGCTGGTTGTTTCTTGGTTATTTTTGCATTCTTCTTTGGTTTCTGATCTGGGTGGGGATGCGTAGTTGCATGCTGCTATGGTTGTTCCAAAATTGGGAGAAAGGGAGGGGGTTAAGGATGCTTTCCATAGAAGTTCTGTATTGGAACAAACTTTTTTTGTTTATTTACATAAAAGTTTGAATATAGACCTGACTTCAAGCTGTTGTTGTATAACCAATGAAATATTTTGTTTTTGGTGTACCGTTTATCTGTTTTCTTAGTTTTGACAAAAAACTATAGTTTTATAAACTGCAACTTTGCCAAGATTATTCCAGTCATAATGTGTTTTACGAAGTTTACCTATTACTCTTTACGGCCTGTTTGGATCCTGTTGACGGTGAAAAAGTGTGACGAGCCGAGCCTCACCGCCAACACGTAAGCAAGCCGGGAGAAAACCACGTGGAGCAGATCCTGAGCTCTCCCCGGGCTTAGGGAAACACCGGACCGGATGGTCGTGACCTAGGGCGTGCCAGTCAATTTAACCCTGTAATTGACAAGGAGGAAAGATTGATTAGTAATTTAAGGTGGAACATGCCGGTGTTGCTCCAGACAATTCTAAATGTACGGCTAAGTAGCCAATGAGATAAGGCTATCGACTAAACAATCGATATCTAGCATGTTCATGATACAAAGCAAATGAAATAAGCATGTCGGCAATTATCAGATATTTAAATGTATATATCTTAACAGCCGATGATCATGAGAGCATGTAAAGGCATGATTAGTAGACATGAAAGCATTTATATTACTTGAGAAACATACTAGCTTTTGACCAAGATAAGAACAAGTATAAACATATGAATAGCCAGTATATTCTCAATAAACGGGCTATCGACAAAAATAGCCGATTCCAGTGAGAGTAAGCTCATAACATTCAAGCACTCAACCACTAAATGTGGATGGATCCATAAACCTATCAAATCTAATCTATTATCTCTAATAGTGGGGTTCGACCGAATCGATGACAGCCATAATAAAGATAACAGACTAAACCTTCAAAGAATACGAGTCTATTCACACTTAACGGAATCATGAAAGCATGTTACGATCGTTAAAGCGCAGGCGATCGGCTAAATAGCCGATACGAACATAGCATGCAGCCAGAGGCTATGTTTGACCATAAGGACTTATTACTTGATAATTTCCAATCTATAGTGCTAACAGTGGGGTCGATCGGATCGATGGCAGCCATAATAGCAGTTCTAGACCAGATTTCACCAACTAACAAGCTTACTTAGGATCAAACACGCCTTGATCACATTCTATCTTCGATCAATATTGGGATAGAACGACTAATCTAGCCAAAACCATCATCAAAGTAGGATTAAACAGGATGAAGCAACAAGACGACGGTTTAAAGAGATATAAACCCAATCCGTTTCAATCTTAATCGGGTAAGGGGTGATGTTGTTACAAATAGTAAGAGTACTAATTATAACAAGATCAATAACTAGCAAATCTATTAAAAATAGTAGGGGAACCCTACCAATCTTAATAGATTTAACTGATAACTGATTCGTATCAAAATTTGTACAAGATTCGAGCCGGACCGATGCAATCTTTCAAATTTTGATAAGAATCAAAGGGTAACTTGATGATGACATCACTCCTTCGGATGTACCCGCTGATCCTCCAACCGTCATGCAAGGTCCAATGACCCGGGCTCGAATGCGTCAACTCAATTTAGAGGTGAGCTCGTTTTTAAGCGATCTTTTTCATACTTTTGAGAATAGACTACTACCTAATGATGTTATCTTACTTAGGAACATTAGAGAGGGTCATGAGGGACTTAGAGGACGTGGTGGAGGCGATGATGACCAGCAAGGACGTTCAACAGAAACCGGAGGCCCGATCCAACATGATTTCGAGTCTGCCTCGGCCTCTAGGACCAGTCTACCTTAAATAGGTCACCCAGGATGCATCCAGACTCCGTTTTCGACGATCCACATATGGTTGGAAATCTAATTTGATAAGAAAGACAATCCAAGTGGTCTCACGTCAAAATCCATTCAGAATCAACGGGAATCATCGAAACGAGTCAGCGTCCAGAATCTGCCAGGGTGCTGCGACACCTTCTTTTGGTCCATTGGACCGTGTATCGTGTTTGGGCCCAATAGGGGGCGCGTCCAAGGTAGGCCACGACCCTAAGACCTTTATAATCATACACCGCAGCCATCATTAGGTTTTGGATTTTGCTTAGATTATTCTGTCAAGAACAGTTTCGCCGTTCATCGGTTTGTGAGACCCCAACTTCGTGAGATTAATCATTCATCTGCAATTTGGTCGTGTTCTTTCTTGTTCTTGCTTGTGTTCTTCCTTGCACAGGCAGGGATTAGCCTTCTTGGCGAGGTCAACCTGGTCCGTGACTCGGTTGATAACCAGAGGAGCTGTGCTGCTAAGACTGCAGGGTTCGATCTTTCGATCTAAAGCCGGATCGGTGTGTCATTCTCCGCCACAACGATAGTTACCTCTACCTGATAGAAGATTGGGATCCCCGTCCCCATTACATCTTGTATCAGGAATTGTATGAGATCGAGCTGGAGCGATGCAACCTTACAATTATTGATAAAAAAGTTGATAACTAACTTATACCAAAACTTACAAGAGGTTGGTCGGACCGATTGTTGACGGTCACTAACACCCGTTTTGACCATCAACATTCCACCCAAAAGCATAACAAAGTGAGGTCAATCACCATCACATCTGAAGAATTTTATTTACAATTCACCCAGTTCCACTTGTGCTTGTAGAATTATTTGTATGCATGAAATTTAAGCAAAAATATGCAAAAAGGTGACAAATATGGGCACATGGAGCAAGTGGACGTGATAGGAGGCCGTGGGCCCACTTGGCAGCGCTGCTCGACCCCACACGGGCATCGCCCGACACCCCAAGTGGCCCTACCATGTCACCGATCCGTGGGAGCTACTCCAGAGCCAATGACAAGCATCCATTCAAGTCGGTTTGACCAACGGACAAGATTTGATACCGGTGGATTCATGGACCCATTGTCATAGACTTGGGAGGCTTCCACCACCTTACCAACTGACTATTCTGCCGAATTTCGACATGTGCTGGCTTCACAACCGACTTGGAGGAGCAACCACGGTGCTACGATGCAGAGGCGGTGCATCCAAGGGCCAACTGGCACCCCCTAAGCGCCGCCCAGCGCCCTAGGTGCTCCACCAACCTACCTGCTGCCTACAAGTACCCCCCATGCCTCTCAACACTACAAATAGAGGGTGTGGAGCTCGGTGGAAGGGTGCCCAATTCATGCCTCTCTACACTATAAATAGAGGGTTTGGGCCCATTAGGGGGCGCGTCCAGGGTAGGCGACGACCCTAAGACCTTTATAATCATACACCGCCGCCGTCATTAGGTTTTGGGTTTTGCTTAGATTATTCTGTCAAGAACAGTTTCGCCGTTCATCGGTTTGTGAGACCCCAACTTCGTGAGATTAATCATTCATCTTCAATTTGGTTGTGTCCTTTCTTGTTCTTGCTTGTGTTCTTCATTGCGCAGGCAGGGATTAGCCTTCTTGGTGAGGTCAACCTGGTCCGTGACTCGGTTGATAACCAGAGGAGCTGTGGTGCTAAGATTGCAGGGTTCGATCTTTCAATCTGAAGCCAAATCGGTGTGTCATTCTCCGCCACAACGATAGTTACCTCTACCTGACAGAAGATCGGGATCCCCGTCCCCATTATAACTTGTATTAGGAATTGTATGAGATCGAGCTGGAGCAATGCAACCTTACAATTACTGATAAAAAGTTGATAACTAACTTATACAAAGCTTACAAGAGGTCGTCCGGACCGATTGTTGATGGTCACTAACACCTGTTTTGACTATCATCATTCCACCCAAAAGCATAACAAAGTGAGGTAAATCACCATCACATGTGAAGAATTTTGTTTATAATTCACCTAGTTCCACTTGTGCTTGTAGAATTATTTGTATGCATGAAATTTAAGCAAAAATATGCAAAAAAGGTGACAAATATGGGCACATGGAGCAAGTGGACGTGATAGGAGGCCGTGGGCCCACTTGGCAGCGCTGCCCGACCCCACACGGGCGCCGCCCAACACCCCAAGTGGCCCTGCCATGTCACCGAACCGTGGGAGCTACTCCAGAGCCAATGACAAGCATCCATTCAAGTCGGTTTGACCAACAGACAAGATTTGATACCGGTGGATTCATGGACCCATTGTCATAGACTTGGGAGGCTTCCACCACCTTACCAACTGACTAATCTACCGAATTTCGACATGTGCTGGCTTCACAACCGACTTGGAAGAGCAACCACGGTGCTACGATGCAGAGGCGGTGCATCCAAGGGCCAACTGGCACCCCCTAAGCACCGCCCAGCGCCCTAGGTGCTCCACCAACCTACCTGTTGCCTACAAGTACCCCCCATGCCTCTCTACACTACAAATAGAGTGTGTGGAGCTCGGTGGAAGGATGCCCAATTCAAGCCTCTCTACACTATAAATAGAGGGTTTAGGCCCATTAGGGGGCGCGTCCAGGGTAGGCGACGACCCTATGACCTTTATAATCATACACCGCCGCCATCATTAGGTTTTAGGTTTTGCTTAGATTATTCTGTCAAGAACAGTTTCGCCGTTCATCGGTTTGTGAGACCCCAACTTCGTGAGATTAATCATTCATCTGCAATTTGGTTGTGTTCGCGTAGGCAGGGATTAGCCTTCTTGGCGAGGTCAACCTGGTCCGTGACTCGGTTGATAACAAGAGGAGCTGTGGTGCTAAGAATGCAGGGTTCGATCTTTCGATCTGAAGCCGGATCAGTGTGTCATTCTCCGCCACAACGATGGTTACCTCTACCTAACGGAAGATATGGATCCCCATCCCCATTATAACTTG